CGGCTCCGGGGAACGGGCAGGTACCGCTCAGGTGGCTGCGGCTGCGCCGGGATGAGCCGGCTGCTCTGGCTCTGACATTTCTGAATTTTATGGGGTTTCTTAAATGGACAGAAGCCTGCTTTTTTTGCTTTTTTTTTTTTTTTAATTATAATAATAACAGTAAAAAAAAACAAACCCATTTCTTTTAATAAACATTGAAGGAGATAAAAGGAAAGGCTCGGTAAGGGAGTGCTTAGTGCCAAAATGCTGATATTAATCCACTCTCCTCGCAGGCTATGAATGTTGTCTAGAGTGGGGAGAACTTAAAAACAGAAAAAAAAAAAAAAAAAAGGAAAAAAGAAATTAACAAGAAAGGTGTTGGGAAACTCTGTACAGTGAACTATTGATAACGAGGCAATTGTTCTGAGTTTAATACAATAACTCGCCAAGATATCGTAGGAAGGCAATACAGAAGATGAAAAATCGCTTACAGAAAAGAACACCCCCCAATAGTATTTACTTTTAAATATACGGCGCGTTTCAGGAGCATTAGACTAAACGTGTGGACTTGTTTCCTTATGTGATCTTTGAATATAATTAATAAAATATTTGAAGGAAAGTTCAAGTCAAATCTATCTTTCTATAATGCAAACAAAGACGCATGTCTCGTGGTTACTGGTAGGTTAATTAGGTGATCTTAAAAGAGATCTATCTTGGAGTAATCCGATATTTATTCTAATAAAATTGTAGGTCTTTCTGTGTTTAGCACGGATATAATGCTGCATGGTGTATTTTGTGGGTGATGGTTTGGCAAAGGTGATCTGAATGTGACTGGATTCCCACCGAACAAAACAAAAAAAGGCCTTTGTTATTCTTTTCCATTAGTGAAACAGGGAGGTCTGGCTCTTCATTTCTTTAGAAATTATCTGGTATAAAATTTAGACTATGAATATTAAAAGTGAGAGATCATACCCCAGGCACAGGGAAAACGTGTATTCATAAAAAACTGCCTGAATGCAACGTGGTCCTCATCTGGAAAAGGCTTCCATCCCACCACTCCTCTGCTTGCAGGATTTACCACCAGCTCCTCTCTGCCTTCATCTGTCAAACGTGGTTTGTAACTGCTCTCCAGAAATATCACCCGTGTGTGGAATACAACAGTAACAAACGTTTTTATTGCAACAGGTTCTGCAGCATGGAAGAACATCCACAGTAAGTGACCTTTTATTTCTTGTAGCGTTTGTGTTATTCGAAAATCCTGGTTCGTCCCTTCAGAAAAAAAACCCCAAACTATAAATCCTGATGAATACTTCTTCCCCCTTCTCTCCCCCACAAAAAAAAAAAAAAAAAAAAAAAAAAAAAAAAAAAAAAAAATAAAAAAGAAAGAAAGGACTATGTCAGCATGTGAAGGTTCTTGAGGAGTCAGTTTGTGGTACCATGTCATAATCCTGGCTAGCATTAAAAGCAGAGGTGCGGTCTCCTGGGAGTTTATTACAAGGCTGTACAGGTGTCGTCCTGCTTTAAAGCACTCCAAAGCCATTAGCAGCGTTTCCATTTTAACTCGGCGGGACTGTACAGCGCCTCCCTGTGCAGAGCCCGGAGGGATCACGTTGTATCCCAGCACCTCATACCCCTGGCTACCCCCAGTCTTTCCTGCAGACGGGGTGCCAAGGAGATCCGTGCCTGCTGTCTGGTGCTCCCCTGGTTTGGCACACACTGCCGGCTGGCTGAAGGAGGCTGCAGGGCTGGGGAGCTCAGCCCGGCCGGGCTAGCCCAGCCGCAGCCTGCTTCTGCGGGCAGTAGAGCTGATCCGCTGCAATGACATGTCTCGGGGCAAAGGAGACTCTAACGTGGATTTAAATGCTGGGAAGGCGCGGAATGGAATGGGTGGCGGAGCTTAGGAGGGCAATCTTTTACTCTAGGGATTTTTGCATCCCAGAGGGTCTTGCCTGAGCCAGGGGGGACCGAGGGAAGGGCAGAATATCAGTGTGCATCAGGAAGTGCTGTTGAACCTTTCTGGCTCCAGTGAGGAACTAAGTTCATTGGTCCTGGTTCTCCAGGCTGAGTCCGGCTTGTCTCTCAAAGAGGGAAAGAAAGCCTGCGATATTTGGAGATTCATTAGGTTGTATATTGCCCTTCCCGCTTCTGCCAGCCCCTCTCTGAGCCGGAGCATGTAAAGGAGAGGAGTGTTTGCGTGTGTGCTTGTTTGCGTTTCCCTGCTTCCTCTCCCTGTTTCCAGACAAATAATCTGTTTCACTATATATGCCAATCTTCTCCTGGTTGTTTTTTTTTTTTGTCTTCCGTTGCAATATTGGTTTTCGGGTCCTATAAATACGAACTAAAGAATCGCCTCCAGCGTTGCAATTTTAATTGTGTTCCATAGGTAACTTTCCTCCCCCCATAGCTCAGTCCTGTGCTACGTAGACGCCCTTGGCATTTTATTACAGGGTCGGCCCTAAATGTATGGATTACTTGTTTTCTGCCATCGTACATTTAGCATACTGATTATAAACCAGAATACAAAAAGGCTGATAGATCAAAAGTATTTTGTATGGGCAGTTGAACAGGAGGTGAATATATAACGCTTTTGTTCATCAATAACTCTTTGGCTTTGACCTGTCTGAGCAAGTCGTGCAATAAGGTGAAACGCAGGTCACAGCGTCTAACAAATATGAAAATGTGTAGTATTAAGCAGAACGGGGAGCTGCTGCTTCCCCAGCTCCATCGCTACTCCCTGGGCAGCCCTCGGAGGGCTTGTCCGCTCCTGGGGGCTGCCCCAAACGATAGCTGGCTTTGGGGGGCGGAGGGGAGTTACCCTGCCACTTCAGCCGGCTGGTTAATAACCCTCGCTAGGGCGGGGGAGTATCCCCCCTTCCCTCAGAGAAAGGATGAGAAAGAGGAGAGAGATGCTGGAAATAGTTGAGTGGGGATTTGAAGAAGCCGGGGGGAGATTGAGGACATAAAGTCGTTTTGAGTTGCACTTGCTGTGAGGAAGGCACCACCGCAGTGGTAAGAAAGCAGACGTTTAAAAATAGCATCTTCCAGCTCAGGCAGCTGGGATTTGGAGCCAGCCCAACAACCCGGTACACATCGCTCGGATAAGCGCAACACCCCCAAATCTGCCCTCCGCAGTGGTTGGATGTATCACACCCGCACCATTATTTGTCCTTATGGTGCCTGTTTTAAATAGTAGAAGGAGAAGAGGTTGACCGCAGGACAGCAGTGAGGAGCTGGGTCAGACACAATTCATGAACTTTTGTACTCCTGTGTGCCGCTGTCGACAAAGTAAAAATAATGAAACTTTGTGATATGTTTGTAAATGATTTCGGCTGACCTCTCGCCCTGCCCTTCACCATAAACGCTACGGCAGGGAAAACCTGGGAGGGTGCGAGGCTGAGGCTCGCAGCAGATCGCGGGGATAATAGCTAGACCAGCATAATAGGATGAAGGTAAATTTGGAAACTCTCTTTTTCCCGAGAGCAACTAACTCCAGCTTTTCATCTCATCTCTTTCACCAACCGCTGTTTCTGTTGTCGGCTGTTTTACCTCTGTTTCGATTTTTTATAAATTCTTTTTTATTTTGGGGGGATTTCTAATTATGGAGAATCTCTTCAGATTCGTGTTAGCTTAAATATTTAAAGACTCCTTACTAAATTACTTTAACCATTATTATTCTAAATAGCGCAATTTGACTGACCACGTCCATTTTCCATAGCGAGGATGCAAATGGCAGAGAATTTAAAGAAAGCGGCAGGTCTTTCTGAGAATTTGGTAGGCGAAATTCGTCGCTATGAATTGGTGGAGGGTCGTATAGCTCTATTGCAGCAATAATAACAAGCGTGAATCTTTTCTGAAACCCTACCTTCCTGCAAATCTGTATTTCAGAACTGAGTCCCAGCAGAATAGTTTGCATTCCTCAGAAGACAGTAAGAGACTAAGAGAATTGCAAAGACCTGCTATATTGTAGATGAAAACAGAATGTTATTACGTTGTCTATATATACCCTGTAGAACCGAATTTGTGTGATATTCATATAGTCACAGATTCGATTCTAGGGGAATATATGGTCGATGCAAAAACTTCACCATTCTGCAAATGGTTAGAAGCTAAAATACTGGCGGAATCGAGAGGCATGTGCGTGCTGAACATTCAGAAATTATAAAAGTTTTGCTGCCTCGCTCCTATTCGCTAGGTTTTAGGACGTTTCTTTAAACTTCAGCTGTCGTTCAGTCCTAACTCTCACTGACAATCTATGAATTTAAACAGTTAAAGTCACCAGAAGTTACAAATTTTCTGGGGGAAAAAAAAAAAAAAAGATATTATCTACCAATCAGTGAATGAGTCTTTCATAAGATACTCATAAATTAGCTAGATATGGCAGACGTTAGCAAAATTTCCCTGTCAAGGGTCCAGATCGCATCAAAATATTTACGACAGCACCAAAAGCAGCATTCGCCTCAATGGAATGTATTTACTTGTGCTCCAGGAATGATATTGATGAATGAAGACCGAATTTATCTCATTAAACCCGTGATATTTTTAACCTAATTAAATGACGTCTCCAGTTCAATTGATTGAACTTTAGTGGTTAAAAGTGAACTCTTTCTTGCCATCTGTATGATTTTACATACATACGTGTACGGATTTATAAATACAAGTTGGCGTTTGCGTCTGTGCACGCACATGTATGCACACGTATATATTGAGGCTTGAAAGTGAATGAGAAGTTACTGATTGCCTAATTTTATTCAGCAGAACTAAATTCTGGTAACTTTTGGATGACCTCTGCCAGACAAAGACAGGACAGATCTATTGTACATCATATTACCCTCTTTGATGGCTTTTCTTTTCCTCGCCTGCTTATCAGTTGCTTCCCTTTTAACCCCGCTTCAGCTCATCGCTCTGCATATTCCTTTCGATTCTTTTTCTTATTTTATTTCAAGCGAGGTGCCAAGCCCCGGTGGCGATGCCGGCTGGCGGATCTTTGGGCAGGGCAGCGCTCCCCGGGGCTGGGGGAAGGCGGCTCAGACAAAAGGCTGTGGGCAGGGCAGCGGCCCCGGGGTACCCCCACACCTCCGGTACCTGGTTTGCGGGTGCGGCCCGCCGGAGAGGGGGGTCACTGCCTCGGAGGGATGTTATTGAGCCGAATGGCTGGAAATGCGGGGAAATGCGGCGGTGGGCGCCCGGCTCCCCATTGGCCGGGCCGGTCACATGCCCGCCTAACTTTATTCAGTTGACAGCAAGTAGGAGGGCTCTATGGCAGGGGAAAAAAAGACAACACGAGAAAAATTAGTATTTTCTACCTTCAGAAATTAATGGCCATGAGTTCGTATATGGTGAACTCTAAGTATGTGGATCCCAAATTTCCTCCTTGCGAGGAATATTTGCAGAATAGCTACTTAGGCGAGCAGGAGGCCGAGTACTACAGTGCCTCGCAGGGCTCTGATTTCCAGCACCAGGGACTCTACCCACGGTCAAACTACAGCGAGCAGCCCTTTAGCTGTAGCAATGCCCAGGGCTCTGCCGGGCAGCCGCGGGGTCACGGACAGGAGCAATCCGGCCCGGCGAGCCACTTCCCCGGCCCGGCAGAGCATTGTCCACCGCCTCCAATGCCCAACCCGCGAGCCTGCAGCCAGCAGCCGGCCCTCAAACCCCCAAACGGCTCCGCACTTAAGCAGCCGGCAGTAGTTTATCCCTGGATGAAGAAAGTCCATGTTAACTCGGGTAAGGATCCTCTTCTTACTTTGCTCTTCTACCCTGCTTCCGATCGTCCTCAGCGGCGCTCTCCCGCGTCCCCGGCAGGCTCGTGGGCGAGCTTTTAAACCGAGGTGGCCAATTACACTCGCCATAAATTTTTATTGCCGAGGAAATAGGCCCTTGGCCATGCGGGGCTTTGCCGTGCAGGATAAAACTCCATTTTAGGAGCCTTCTAGAGGCTCGCAGCCTACCTAGCTGCGTGTGCCCGTAGAGGCTGCCTCAAACGAGGGGGAAAGCAGCCCGGCTATTGTAAAGCAACTGGGACGAATCCAGCTCGGCCACATGCTCGCAGCTCGTAAGGTTTTCTTTTGTAAAGTCGGACCGGCAAGCCAAGATTAGCTTTGTAAAAGTTCTCCGTATTTTTTTCCCAGTGAATCCCAATTACAACGGAGGGGAACCTAAACGCTCCCGCACAGCTTACACCAGACAGCAAGTCCTAGAACTGGAAAAAGAATTTCATTTTAACAGGTACCTGACCAGGCGCCGCCGTATCGAGATAGCCCACACTTTGTGTCTCTCTGAGCGCCAGATCAAGATCTGGTTTCAGAACAGAAGAATGAAGTGGAAAAAAGATCACAAACTGCCCAACACGAAGGGCAGATCTTCTTCCTCTGGTTCAAACCCCCATTTACAAACTGGTTCCAAGGACCATCAGACTGACTTGACAACTTTGTAGAAGAGGTTAAATTTTCCATTTCATCCTTCGCTTCTGACCAGTACTGTACATAACTGACACTGCCCAAGCAGAACCTGCATGTAGCAGCTAAGGACACGAGAAATTGTCATCTTTCTTTAAGGTACTGTTGTACAAAGGAGACAAAATGACGCTGCTGTGGACTTTATTTTATTTGCCTCTGCTAGCACAACCTAAAAAAGGAAAACAAAAGAAAAAAAAAAAAAAAAGGGAAAGAAAGAGAGAAGGAAAAACAAACAAACAAATCATGGTGCAGGCAGTGGGAATTGGGAAAATATTAAATGAGACCTTCTGTCCTTAAAAAATAATAAATCATTGAAAATGAAACTGTCCTGTGTTTCAGTTTTGAATTCTAAAGTGAAGATTGGATGCTTTATTCTGGGATTTATACTTTTAATTGTCTTTCTATCCCATGTAATTTCGGGAGGATGCATTTTGGGCAAGTTGAGGACAGGAAAATCATAGCATAGTCTTATATTCGAACATAAAGACTAGTAATTGTGAACTTTCTTTTTTTGTTTTTTGTTTTTTTTGGTTCTTTTTTGTGCTGCTTTACCTTTCTCGGTGTAATGAAAATTCTTGCTCATTTCCATAACGTCTCAGAAAGTGTGCATAGAAATGAAGCGAAAACGGGTTATTTTGTGTTCTGGTAATGTTCGTGTATTTATTTATTTGTTACATGGAAGAATGAAGACAAAAAGAAAAATAGTCAAACCAAAAACGAAGAAGGGGAGCTGAAATGTAGTATTTTTCCTTCCCAGTCTCATGAACACATATGTAATGTTTACTTGTCTTGAACGTACACAACTTTTCCCCCGGTTGTTGTTTTTTTTTTTTTTTTTTTATTTCCTTCTTTGTGAACAGGAAAAGCGTCCCTGCTCCTTACCGTGTGCCATCCAGAGCTAACAGGCTTGAAATCTGTTTCCAAAGTCTGCTCTGTTCAGCGCTGTGCTTTAAACCATCGATACCTCATTTAAAAATGGAAAGAAAAAAAGAAAAAGGAAAGAGGAAAGGAAAGAGACCACAAAAAACAACCCCACATAAAACAGCAACCCAGACTGAAAAATTAATGTGATTTCTCATATAAACTGAGCCATTCAAAGCTGAAAGCTGAACACATTCTTTCAACCAGATTTAAAATTTATTTTCTGCTAGAGAGAGGTAGTCCATGTGGGTTGCTGCTTTGTTTTGTTTTGGGATTTTTGGGTTTATTTTGGGGTTTTATGGCTTTGGTTTGTTTAGTTTTTAGGTTTGGGTGGATTTTTAAGATTAGGTGGGGGTTTTTTTTGTTCTGGTGGGTTTTTATGGGGATTTTTTTTGTTATTTATTTATTTTTTTTTTTTAGAACAGTGATTGTTTTTCAGCAAAAATGACACATGACTGCAATGGCTGGAAATCCCAGCAAGTTGCTTTCAGGAAAGACGAAAGGCTTGGATGGGATCAGAGCTTGTCTAATACCCACGAATTTATCCCTGACTGCTGGTTGCCAAAGTTTTAGAGCGCTCTAACTACGAAACCAAACCAAACCAGCTCCCTGAGCCACTTACACCTCCGCTCAGGTTTTAAAGCTCAGCCCCTATCTCCTGTAGCCTCAGGGCAGCCTGGGAGAGGGGACCATGTAGCCAAAATCGTAACGAGGTGATCCCTTTATTAAAGAGAAAAGTGGAGAAGAAGGAAACTCATAGCAAACACTGAAGGGAGGTGGAAAGAGCAAGGGTGAGTTAACGTGCCCTTCTCCAGGCTGGATGCTTCCCACTGAGAACTCACGGCTCTCTGGGCTCGCTCGGGAAAACACTGGCCAAAATGGGCTTGAATTAATTCGAAAATAAAAGGCGAGCTTTTCAACAAGAGTGTATTCGGCAACGTTAACTGTGGCCAGCAGTTAATTTCTGCCCTTTTCTCATCCCTTGAAGTCCGCAAAGTGTCTTTAAGACTTGGTCTTTTGTTTTAGAGCCTGGAGAAAACTCTTTGTTCTTCCTTAGGGTTAGCCCAGTTCTCAGACTTGCACATGGCAATACTTGAATATCTCCACGTCGTGATATTAAAGATGGATATTCCCGCATTATTCGCATCATTGTTTCTATGACAAAAAGCACCGAGTTCATACATAGTAAAGACGTCTTTTTTCTGACGCCTTCACGTTGAGAAGCTGAAAAGGTATTTTACTGAAGTTCGGCTAAATTGCAGGAACAGGTTCACCCAGAGGACAAATTTTCTATTCGATTAGTTGTATTTCAGCCGGGAAGAGTGACCTCTAAACCCTTAACCTTTTGGACCCAAACTACCCTTCCCTTTCTCTAGCATGGAGAGCAGCTAGCAGCAGCGCTTGAGGAGGGAATTCCTGAGACAAGTTTTCAAGTTTTGCTTCACCAGGTTCCTGCAGTAGTGTCCTTTCCTCTCCAGAGCTGTTCAAAGCTCTCCTTTTGCTCTCCATACATATCTATTAAGATAAAGAAGAAAAAAGGGTGTGGGGAACTCAAATCCCTCTAGCTGCCCTTCTTGAAAATCCTCCGCCCGGACCCCCGCTGTTTTCTTAAAGTTTGATAAGTCGGCTGCGAGCAGGGCAAAAGTGTTATTCCAGAGAGTGCTACCAACTTTGGCATCTGTGGTACAGTTCTGGAAAATAATGGCCTTGGATAAGCAAATCCTTACTTTGTGCTTCTAATCAACCGAGATGGCTCCCGAAGTTAAAGGACCAACTTCTGCTCCCAGATTTCCTTCCCCCGCCCACTGAAGTCAAACAGGCATGTAGCTGCGAGCAGAATTTGTCTCATTGTCTTTTGAAATGTTAATAACTCCAGGACGAGTGTTGGCTTCAGCAGGCACAGCTCTTACAACCCTGCTTGCAAGTCCCCTTTGAGCGAGGCTGGAGCACTGTAGGTTTGCATAGGTGTGATTGCACCGTAAGATCCAAGAATATGTGAAGTGGAGACAGAGGGTACCAAACAGAAATAGTTTCCAGCTGCCAGTGCTCTGAATGGTCAGGAATGTCTGTAATAACGACCAAGAGCACCCTCTGGTCCTTATCTCCCGTGCAAACCGAACCTGAGGTTTTTGGGTTTTGTTTTAATGGTTGTAACCCTCCTCCAGAGTTATTTTTTGTATTAAGGGAAGCTGGTTATTTTTGTTTATCACGGGTGAATGTTGTGCATTGGAGCCTTTGTTAAACGGTCGTATTGTCCAGCACTACTCTCATCTCTGTTAAAGTGTGATGGTTTTTATAGACTTTGCTGATGTTTTGCTGCCATTCATTAAAGCGTTATTTATACTAACTGTCGCCTGTAGTTTTGATGTAAGCCCTCCACATATTTTTGAAATAATAAAAGGTGTAGTGAAATAGATTCTGGTTTGTACCTTGAACAAGCAGTCCTCACAGTGGAACTGTAAAGGAAAGGTGGGTCTTTCTTCTGTGAAAATGCTGGTTCCTCCCATCATTACAGTGTTAAAAGATGAGTGACTCTGCATAGCATCCTTCCAAATGTCCCTTTGAACAGGTTTGCTGTTTGCCTCAGCCATAATGGTGTGACTCTAGGCCAAGCTGGAGTCTATATTTACTTTTGGGCTGCAGTTAAAAGTGCCTGTCATCCATTTGCTGCTGCTTTGCATTTAACAAGCCCTCCTAGAATGACTCCTGGATTTGTGCATGTGTGGTAGGAGGCGAGGAGCCACACCTGAAGCCACCTCGGTGCCCACACAGATATGTGTCTTTTAGGTGAGTCCTGGAAAGAATCAATTACATTAAGAAATGGAAATTCGAAATTGCAGTGCAGAGAGTAGCTTTTCCTGAGCAGTAACTCTCACTTTCACAGCGTATACAAAAGAAAGACCACAGGAAAACACAATTTGGAGACTTTAAAGTTTGTCATGCACCCATGGCAAGCATATTTTTTTTTCCTTCCCAGCGTAAGCATCTCAGACAATAACACATGCAACTAGCCAGGAGAAGTCGATTGCACTATTTTTGTTATAAGTACTTGTCAGTGAGGGCTTGTCCTCTCCTGGAGCGTGGTCAAGGCACGAGTCCAAAAACACAGTCTCTGGCTCAGGCCGGGCAGGGAGCGGGGTGCCCAGCAGAAAGCATGTGCCCTTACTGCCCGAGTGCACTGAGGGGAGGTTGGGGTTGCCTTCCTAAGCACACACTCGCTAAGTTTAAATATTGAGGCATATCTTGTGATCATACTTTCCCTCTCTGCTGTTTAATGGCTCCTCCTGTTACTCCCGATACATCAATACAGTTCTGTATATTATATCACCACTAGTCGTTAAGGTAAGGATGAAGAGGAAAGGCAGAGTCAATAGCAAACCCCACAGACTGTACAGTACTGTAAATAGGGACCTCTCGGTGCAGAGCCACACCGCTTCCAACGGCCATGTTTGTTAGCCCTTTCCCCTGATTCTTTTTTCCTTTTTTTTTTTTTTTTTTTTTTTTTTTCCCCTCCTTCCCCCCAAGCCTAGAGACCAAAATAATCTTGCTAGGAACAGTCATAACAGGCAGAATTTCAAAGTGCAAGGAAGATGATAAGAATAGATTTCTACAAGTCCTGACCACGTGATTTGCGAAATAATTAATTCAGCACGTCCCTTAAGAAACACGGAGTCGTCATTAATCTGCCAAGCAAAGGACTCTATCAGACTTGAAAACTGAAGAGATCCCAAGAATATAATATACAAAGGGTGCCGTCCCTCTCCCTGCACACCTAGCTCTTTGGTAGCTGCTGAAAAAGAGACGCCCGGTACGTAAATATTTTTTACTTTTATTCCTCCTTATTTAAGCCTTAATGAACTCAGCTGTCAAACACTTGACAAATAGGGCACGCTGCTTCCTGATTTCCAGCGCGGCAGCGGCCGGGAACCGGACCGGGCGCAAGCGATGACCTTTGCTTCCCAGGGAGCGGGGGAAGAGGACGAGCGCGGAGAGCCGCGGAGCGCCGCGGAGCGGGGAGCCTGCTGGCCA